TGTGATTGCACCGCTGATCCTACCAACCTAACTGTAGGCAGCAGGCAAGTGTTCATACGCAATCCTTATTATCATGTTAATTATAACCTTTATTAACTTTTCATTTTCAAATAGCTTTTGTGAGGACATATTGTGCTTAATATTAGACCGTCTACAACAACAATCTGATAAGAAACATTCAGATCAGGAATCTCATAGGCGTTCATCAATTCAGTTCTCCGAATTTTGGACAACAATTTTTCGAGCGAAAGGTCACACGGAAAAAATACGTTCTCATCCATATGTTCAAAGTGTGCGCGATCACATAGTTCGTCTTGCAATATCAGCCGCTAATAGTACAATCGTGATAGGATTACTTCAAGAATTATTCGAACGCTCGGGAGATAATTGCAGTTAAAACTAAGTGCTTAATATCGGAAAGAACAAAATCTGAGTCGACGCTTGCAAGATCTTCTAAGATGTTGGCAGATTGAAAACTTTCGGGCAACGAATCTGGGGGTATATAATTATGTGACTGTAAATGTCCGAGAAGGACACATAGGAAAATTCGTTGTTCTTTCTTAGTACTTTCTATCAATAACTTATTTATAAAGTTGAGATTTGTTGCGTGGACTGTATAATCTTGGTGAACCTTCATAATATATTGATAATCCATAATCCAATCTCTCAAACTTTCAATACCATTAATTTTGGAATAGATAAATTCAACAAATAGGAACTCTCTTTTAAGATATTCTCTGTCGATTTTAAACTTACTATTACTTTGCCAAACATCGAATTGGTTTCTTCGGATTACTAATTTACGGTTAGTTGACTGGTTATGACCTTCATATTCGGTCCACGTTTTAAGATTAAACATACTCTTAACTATCATGGCATATTTGTAAAATACATCTTCGGATATAGGAATTTGTACGGGATTTGAGCACCAAAGTGAAGATTTTTTAACTTGATGAAGTGGTACTTTTGGCTCTTTCGACTCTTTCCATCCACCTAAAGATGCACAACTTCCAATAACTATTGGCTGAGTGGATGGATCGATGTTATGCGGCAAATGAACAAAAAAAATAGTAGTATGTGATAAATTTGAATCAATATTTATATCTCTCTCGTTATATCCACCTTTCTGCGAAGTTGCCGCAGCGGAGCCTGAACCTCTAATATCTCTATCACTCATTGTTATTTTAAATTCCTGGTTAAAATTATATATTTCAATGATTTAACCACAAATACATAAATCCACTTTCTTAAGGAAAGTAAAGGTTCGGACCTTTTTTTTTTTTTTTTGCACAAACTAAAGCAATTAAAGCAATTTCAATGATGGACTGTTACACTACAGCTGTATAACAACCTTTCTTGTCGAAATATGACATGAAAAGTATGTTTACATCGTACGTACCATGTTATTAATATAATTTGAAGTTTTATAAGTTTTATAATACTTTCTATTCTCCCAATATCAAATAAATCGATATTTACTTTTAAATCAAATCTTAATAAAAGTTGTAAGATATACCTTAAAAATTTTTTTTTTTGCTAATTTTGTCAAGCAATCAGTGTCTAAATCAATATTCTAACTTTGTTACTACAGATAAATACGTCTTAGCACACTAGCTCTAACAGAATTTTG